GATTGCCGCAGTTTAAACATTAAAAGGAGGTTTAATAAAGAAAAATGCACATAAAATAATATATACACTAAAAGAAACGAACAAACATACAGAAATTCAAACAAACGAAAAAAAATATATCCGTGGGCTAGCTGAGGGGTCTGGCGCCAAATGCCCGTTGTCAGTTTTCCCTCGGCCTTGTCTGTCGCCATCTTGGGCGCCATCTTGTTATGCCCGTATCCATGAGGGCGATCTCCCGACGTCATCCTTCGCAGGCCTCGAGTGGAACATCGGGACATCGAAGCATGGATAGCTTGGGCCAAATCTCCTCCATATGATGAAAAATGCCCAGGGCGTCTCCATCCTCCTTCTACAGCGCCTCCGTCAGGCAGTACCTTCTACATCGCATCCGTCAGGCAGTACCTTCTGCAGCGCCTCCTTCGGTGCCTCCGTCACTATGCTCGCGCCCTGGCCCAAACTGATAATATTGGTCGCGGGGACTTTTTATGGGGGTTTTGGGTGATGCTGAGCGGGTGTGGGTCGCCGGAAGAGGCAGTAAGAGCGGCAGCTCACTACAGATAAAGATTGCATTATGCAAGCAGGAACGTAATCCAGTGCTTGTTTGCAAAGCCTCACTGTAGCAAATGCAGGCACAGACTCATGGGTTTAAATAGTAAGCTTCTTTGGTTCGCTGGAGAGTACATACATTTCTGTAATTGTTCCCCAAGTTCTTATCTGTGCGTTTATTTGTCGGATTGTATATTTGTTTACCAGTTTCTTTGTTTTATTTTTTATTTACTTTTATTCGGTTACTTATATTATTTTGTACAGTAAATGACCCTTTGGCAGAGACACACTGAAGTACAAGGTATATCATATTAAGTAAATAATTCTTTTCTTGTCTTTTAGGATGATGGGATTATAAAAGTGATGATGGTGATTATAGGAAGAAAAATTAGTTGATGCTAACAATATTGTGTGTGTGTGTGTGTGTGTGTGTATGGTGATGACTGGTGAAATATTCACTAAAAACAGAATTGGAGATGTAAACGATTATAATCATTATTGTTATCATCATTTTTACTATTACTACTACTACTGTTCCCACTGTTATTGTTACTGATATTATTACTACTACGACTGCTATCAATGTTTACATCATATATCCCAGTGGAATCATTATAACCATAATAATAATAATAATAACAATAATAATAATAATAATAATAATAATAACAATAATAATAATAATAATAATAACAATAATAATAATAATAACAATAATAATAATAATAATAACAATAATAATAATAATAATAACAATAATAATAATAATAATAATAATAATAATAATAACAATAATAATAATAATAATAATAATAACAATAATAATAATAATAATAATAATAATAACAATAATAATAATAATAACAATAATAATAATAATAATAATAACAATAATAATAATAATAATAATAATAATAATAATAACAATAATAATAATAATAACAATAATAATAATAATAACAATAATAATAATAATAACAATAATAATAATAATAACAATAATAATAATAATAATAATAATAACAATAATAATAATAATAATAATAATAATAATAATAATAATAATAATAACAATAATAATAATAATAATAACAATAATAATAATAATAACAATAATAATAATAATAACAATAATAATAATAATAATAATAATAATAATAATAACAATAATAATAATAATAATAATAATAACAATAATAATAATAATAATAATAATAATAATAATAATAATAATAACAATAATAATAATAATAACAATAATAATAATAATAATAACAATAATAATAATAATAATAATAATAATAACAATAATAATAATAATAACAATAATAATAATAATAATAACAATAATAATAATAATAACAATAATAATAATAATAACAATAATAATAATAATAATAACAATAATAATAATAATAATAACAATAATAATAATAATAATAATAACAATAATAATAATAATAATAATAACAATAATAATAATAATAATAATAATAATAATAATAATAATAATAATAATAATAATAATAATAATAATAATAATAATAACAATAATAATAATAATAATAATAATAATAATAATAACAATAATAATAATAATAATAACAATAATAATAATAATAATAATAATAATAATAATAATAACAATAATAATAATAATAATAATAATAATAATAATAATAATAATAATAATAATAATAACAATAATAATAATAATAATAATAATAATAATAATAACAATAATAATAATAATAATAATAACAATAATAATAATAATAACAATAATAATAATAATAATAACAATAATAATAATAATAACAATAATAATAATAATAACAATAATAATAATAATAATAATAATAACAATAATAATAATAATAATAATAACAATAATAATAATAATAACAATAATAATAATAATAATAACAATAATAATAATAATAATAATAACAAT